AACTGACTTGCGGATATCAGGACCAAGGCACCTTTCAAAGATATCTTTGTTAACATGAAAACATAAATCGTTTGAAAAACCGTGAAGCAGGGTTCTCCTTGATGTGTTTGATAATCGCTGGCACAACATGAAGACAATAACGTGTATTCGTCCACACTGTTTTCTCGAACGCAAACCAAACGCCCCAAGAGACATGCGTGTCAATAATTTAGATAACTCATTAGCAACCACTGACCCGAGACATATAATCTTTGAAAGCAATAATCATTTAGTGGTTCGTGAGATGGTCGTCGTTTACGGTTTTTCTGAACTTGAGTTCATTCCGTGCATTGAAATATTTATTGTGTTTAAATTTGTCTCGCCCTTGTCGTTTATTTTGTATCAATACACACATGAAATGTAACTTATTATCCACATTGCCCACTCCACCCACCACCGTTTGCCCTTTAGTTCATCTCAATATAAATCAAGTCGTTACATTTTTTTCATTTTCGACATTGCGTCTGACAAAACAATGCATACATGTATGTAGTTAACACTTTGCATACACGATCCCAGAGACGCGCACATTTCTATATTCATATGTATCGTTATGACATTTGATGTGCCCAAGGTTTGCGAAATAGTATTTCTTTAACTGTTTGATGGGCGTTCTAGAAATCGGTGAGTAAATAAGAAAACATCATGGATACCAACTTCAGGTTTAACGCAAAAAGCGGCATTTCGATGTGATTCTTACACTGTACATAAACCAGAAGTGCAATAAACAAGACATTGTTGTCCAAAAATTGTACTTTCTTTGGTATTTCATAACCACCCTTTTCACTTTCAATAACATGTAATTCTATAATGACGATGAAAAGAACCTTTTCCAAATTAAAAATCGAATGGCTATATTTTTATCCAATTACACTATCAGATGCAACCATCACTATCAGAACCTTAGCCCCCACTACAAGCACACTGTTATGTGCTATATATGAAGCGCAAGTTTTATGAATGAAAATGGCTGAACCACGTTATCACACGAGCGTGATGTAACTGCACACGCACAAGGAGTATTCTCATGGTACTGTGAACCAGGAACGCGACGCACCCAGCATGACGTCATAAGGGAACTATATTCAACGGGAAGAGACTCGGCATGTTTTTTTTCCAGTCACGGAGAAGTCACCGCCATGTTGCGAAGAACATTTGTCCATAGGGGCACTCTTAAGAGCGAGTGCCATCACAAGAGCTTTCTGACAAAATGACGTGCTCACTCCAAGGGGGATTTCTTGGCCCTGGCGTCATCAAGTTGTATGCCTATCACATCAGTTTCCTTCTTGTACCATTGGTTATCATACCGGAAATACCTTATCGTCTGTGGGGACAATTTTTACATCTGTATACAGTTAAGACTGAGTGTATGTTGAACACATGTTATTATTATTACTGACCTTTACCCTATCACCAGTGTTGCCATCTGTATACAGTTGTCGTTAAGACTGAGTGTATGTTGAACACATATAATTATTATTACTGACCTTTTCCCTGTCACCAGTGTAGTCATCTGTATACATTTGTCCTTAAGATTGATGGCATCTTGAACACATATAATTATTATTACTGACCATTTCCCTATCACCAGTGTAGTCATCTGTATACAGTTGTCGTTAAGACTGAGTGTTTGTTGAACACATGTAATTATCACTACTGACCTTTTCCCTATTACCAGTGTTGTCATCTGTATACAGTTGTCGTTAAGACTGAGTGTTTGTTGAACACATATAATTATTATTACTGACCTTATCCCTATCACCAGTGTTGTCATCTGTATACAGTTGTCGTTAAGACTGAGTGTTTGTTGAACACATGTAATTATCACTACTGACCTTTTCCCTATTACCAGTGTTGTCATCTGTATACAGTTGTCGTTAAGACTGAGTGTTTGTTGAACACATATAATTATTATTACTGACCTTATCCCTATCACCAGTGTAGTCATCTGTATACAGTTGTCGTTAAGACTGAGTGTTTGTTGAACACATATAATTATTATTACTGACAATTTCCCTATCACCAGTGTAGTCATCTGTATACAGTTGTCGTTAAGATTGATGGCATCTTGAACACATATAATTATTATTACTGACCTTTTCCCTATTACCAGTGTTGTCATCTGTATACATTTGTCGTTAAGACTGAGTGTTTGTTGAACACATATAATTTTTATTACTGACCTTTTCCCTATCACCAGTGTAGTCATTTGTATACATTTGTCGTTAAGATTGGTGGCATCTTGAACACATATAATTATTATTACTGACCTTTTCCCTATCACCAGTGTAGTCATCTGTATACATTTGTCCTTAAGATTGATGGCATCTTGAACACATATAATTATTATTACTGACCTTTTCCCTATCACCAGTGTAGTCATCTGTATACAGTTGTCGTTAAGATTGATGGCATCTTGAACACATATAATTATTATTACTGACCTTTTCCCTATTACCAGTGTTGTCATATGTATACAGTTGTCGTTAAGACTGAGTGTTTGTTGAACACATATAATTATTATTACTGACCTTTTCCCTATCACCAGTGTAGTCATCTGTATACATTTGTCGTTAAGACTGAGTGTTTGTTGAACACATATAATTATTATTACTGACCTTTTCCCTATCACCAGTGTAGTCATTTGTATACATTTGTCGTTAAGATTGGTGGCATCTTGAACACATATAATTATTATTACTGACCTTTTCCCTATCACCAGTGTAGTCATCTGTATACAGTTGTCGTTAAGACTGAGTGTTTGTTGAACACATATAATTATTATTACTGACCTTTTCCCTATCACCAGTGTAGTCATCTGTATACATTTGTCGTTAAGACTGAGTGTTTGTTGAACACATATAATTATTATTACTGACCTTTTCCCTATCACCAGTGTAGTCATCTGTATACATTTGTCGTAAAGGCTGAGTGTATGTTGAACACATATAATTATTATTACTGACCTTTTCCCTATCACCAGTGTAGTCATCTGTATACAGTTGTCGTTAAGACTGAGTGTTTGTTGAACACATATAATTATTATTACTGACCTTTTCCCTATCACCAGTGTAGTCATCTGTATACATTTGTCGTTAAGACTGAGTGTTTGTTGAACACATATAATTATTATTACTGACCTTTTCCCTATCACCAGTGTAGTCATCTGTATACAGTTGTCGTTAAGACTGAGTGTTTGTTGAACACATATAATTATTATTACTGACCTTTTCCCTATCACCAGTGTAGTCATCTGTATACATTTGTCCTTAAGATTGATGGCATCTTGAACACATATAATTATTATTACTGACCATTTCCCTATCACCAGTGTAGTCATCTGTATACAGTTGTCGTTAAGACTGAGTGTTTGTTGAACACATGTAATTATTATTACTGACCTTTTCCCTATCACCAGTGTAGTCATCTGTATACAGTTGTCGTTAAGACTGAGTGTTTGTTGAACACATATAATTATTATTACTGACCTTTTCCCTATCACCAGTGTAGTCATCTGTATACAGTTGTCGTTAAGACTGAGTGTTTGTTGAACACATATAATTATCACTACTGACCTTTTCCCTATTACCAGTGTTGTCATCTGTATACATTTGTCGTTAAGACTGAGTGTTTGTTGAACACATATAATTATCAATACTGACCTTTTCCCTATTAACAGCGTAGTCTCAAACCTACGTGTATTAACCACGAAGATATGTCTGACTTACAGCGACTTTACCATAGAGGCATGCCGTCTGATGTTAGGACCTCTCTGTGATTTCACAATATGAGAGCCTCTTCACAAATTAATTGTCATTTTGCTTTTGCTTTGAACAAAATGCCACGAAGGGTCAAGACATTCCCTATATCCCTACTTCACTTGAGACGTGGCTAGTCCAACGTACATTTAACCAAACTCATGACCGGGTAAATAAACATCGGCGTTCGATACAACGTGTTAACTGTATAACGACTTACGAATTTCAACCTAGCAATGGATACGTTGAGTTTACATTAATTAATGCCTACCACTAACACGGTTTAAACGGAGGTTTATATCCAACCTTATGACCTAGGCACAACCTTCTTTGCCTAAAATAACCTGCTAAAATAATATTAAAAATTCAAGGTATGTTTTTGTTTCTTGTTACTCACGAGTTCCGAATGAATGCAAAGCAACATTGTTTGAGACTATGAAACATTTCTCTGTTTAAATTGTGAGATATATCACTAGTTATGTATCATTATGATAAAATTGAGACTCTTCAAGCTACGCGCAGCTCTGAATCATAGTGACAGTGTACCCTCAAAGGCGTAGATCAATGCTCATGATGTCAATCACTGGATTGTCTGCCCCAGACTCGATTATTTAGACCGCTATCGTATCGCTGGAATCTTGCTGAGTGCAGCGTTACACAACAAACAGACAAAACAAAAAACTAATAGTGCATCCACTTTTATCATCGTGAAACTGTATCCTCTGTATTACAGGACGCATATAATGTATCCATAAATCTCTGATAATGTGATAAGAATTTCACGATCTAAACCGTCCTACCTCACAAAATCACCTACAAAGCTTTCGAGCACAAAAAACGTAGTTAAATTTCAAATGCAGCTTATCGTAACTACTAGCGTATCTGTAACCGATTACGAGAATAGGACAATATATTTGATGTTTAGTCCTGAAAGTGTTTCATTAATAGTTGATCGACATCCTTAGAATGAGATCGATCGAAAGCTGATATTAGACGCTAGCGAGTAGGAGTTGACGTGATCGCTTGCTTAGAATCACAGGATAATGTCTTCACTTGCGTAAATGGTAATACCTAATTGAATATGAGACGAAGTGGGAAATTGAGTTAAAGACTTTTATGATAAGCTCCAGCCCTAGGCAAGTGATTCGCTGAACTGCAAGCATGATAACAAGCGTGTTCTAATCTCTGTTTTGTGTGTTTTAGTTGGCTGGCGCTGGCGGGTAAGGACGCCAATGGAAGCATGTTGACGCAGCTCACACTAAAAGATGCGATCGATTAGCCAGTCACCAATCTGCACGGAAGTACAATAAGTTGCCAACTCTCCATGGTAGTGATACCAGCAGTCGTCTCCAGCGCGAGACTCGAGATGTAAGAATATGATATTGAATAGAAGCACTTCGCCAATGGATGAGTTTACCATGTACCCAGAGGGGGACAGTAACGTCACCGCGGTTGTGAACGAAAACCACACAACAAGCCCTTATCCGGACCCACGTTTAATCTATGAGGAATACGATAAATGGGTTGAACTGGCAACAGTCTCCTATTATATTGACCAGCGGTATTTGTGGTTCATATTCGCATTTGGTTTCCCTGGCAACATCGCCACCATCTTCACCATCCTCCGAGTCGGCCATGTGGGAACGCCATCCTTCTATGTGCTGCTGCTGGCCGTCGTGGACAACCTCGCCATCGTTGTCAAACTGCTGTATCATCAACTAGCAATGTACAGTGTTCCCATTGGAGTATCCGGATGCAAGACGTTGAAGTTTCTTGGAAGTTTTCTTGTTGCGTTTGCAAACTGGGTGCTCATCACCCTTGCAGTGGAACGGTTCATAGCAATACATTTCCCGTTCTCTCAAACATCTACCCGGAAGTTTAAGATGAAGAAAGCCGTCCTTGTGGTGTCTGTTGAGGCAGGGATCTTGTTCTGGGTGTTTGCCCCGGTGTTGTGGACCCACTCCTACATCTACGACTCCTACCTGGACGTCATGCGGTGTGGTGAACCAGAGGAGTACCGTTACTTCGTGGAAGAGGTCTGGCACTGGATCGACTCCGTTGTGTATGCCGTCATCCCGTGCATCTCACTCTTCACGCTCAACGTTCTCATCATCCGCGACACGACGCACTCACTCAAAACACGGACCCTCCTCACCAACAGCATCAACTCCAGAAGAGGCAGTAATTTCAACGTCCAGATCACGGCAATGTTGTTGACGGCGTCGATAGTGTTCGTGCTGCTGACGCTGCCGGTGTGTGTCTACTACGTCGTGAACGTCTACTGGCACGTCTCCCCCTACAGCGTCCAACAGGGATGGAAGAGCATATTCAGGGACATGGCCTACCTTCTGTGTGATCTCAGCCATGCTGTCAACTTCTATCTATATTTCCTAAGTGCCCGGAAATTCAGACGTAACTTCCTGAAGGTCGTCATGTGTTCACGTCGTGGAGCCGCCTACCCCAACTCCAACACCGCAACGACATGTCCCAACAACTACATATAGCTTCATCTGCGGGACGAAAGCACAACGTTAACATTGCTTATTTATTTTGCGAATTCTTGGCATGTATTCTGAACGGATGATGTATTATTAGCCATCGCTTTGCATACGGGACTTTCTTGCGTCAAGCGTTCACTTTTTGAGTTAACAGCCGGATAGTATTGCACGGGAAGCATTTGGTATTTTAACTTCTTATTGCGGGAAAAAGTGAAAAGTTTCTTTTTAATAGCTTAGTTGTGGGTAGGTGTAGCTAAGCCTAGAACTGTGTGAGCTAAGTCGGATGACCTGAAGTGTGCCTATAGGGCTTAATTCAATTCATTTCAAGGTATTGGTTGTGTCTTCTTATCCCCAAATGACTGAGGATGCGGATCTTGACGCGGATCGTCGCGATGCCAAGTTCTCAATCTGGACGATTCAGACTGCGGCCTGACATTTCCACTGGAAGTATTATAAACAGAGATATTTGTAGATACAGTGACGTAATGTGACGTTCATTGTAATGGCCCCGACCCAGAGCAGCTAAATATGTTTGCCTTACATCTCTACCAGGAGGAATGTGAGAGGCGGATATCAGTTGTCGCATTCTGTAGGGAGGGATCGACCATGTGATACTCACGGGCCGGGGAGTGGGAGGGGTGAGTGGGAGGGGTGAGTGGAAGGGGGGAGAAAGGAGTGCGAGGGGCGTGTGGGAGGGGTGAGTGGGAGGTGTGAGAAGGTAGCGGGAGGTGCGAGTGGGAGGGGTGAGAAGGGAGTGGGAGGGGTGAGTGGGAGGGGTGAGAAGGTAGCGGGAGGTGCGAGTGGAAGGGGTGAGAAGGGAGTGGGAGGGGTGAGTGGGAGGTGTGAGAAGGGAGTGGGAGGGGCGAGTGGGAGAGGTGAGAAGGGAGTGGAAGGGGTGAGTGGGAGGGGTGAGAAGGGAGTGGGAGGGGTGAGTGGAAGGGGTGAGAAGGGAGTGGGAGGGGTGAGTGGAAGGGGTGAGAAGGGAGTGGGAGGGGCGAGTGGGAGAGGTGAGAAGGGAGTGGAAGGGGTGAGTGGGAGGGGTGAGTGGGAGGTGTGAGTGGGAGGTGTGAGTGGGAGGGGTGAGAAGGGAGTGGAAGGGGTGAGTGGGAGGGGTGAGTGGGAGGTGTGAGAAGGGAGTGGGAGGGGCGAGTGGGAGGTGTGAGAAGGGAGTGGGAGGGGCGAGTGGGAGGGGTGAGAAGGGAGTGGGAGGGGTGAGTGGGAGGGGTGAGAAGGGAGTGGGAGGGGTGAGTGGGAGGGGTGAGTGGGAGGTGTGAGAAGGTAGCGGGAGGTGCGAGTGGGAGGTGTGAGAAGGGAGTGGGAGGGGTGAGTGGGAGGGGTGAGTGGGAGGGGTGAGAAGGGAGTGGGAGGGGTGAGTGGGAGGGGTGAGTGGGAGGTGTGAGAAGGGAGTGGGAGGGGTGAGTGGGAGGTGTGAGTGGGAGGGGTGAGAAGGGAGTGGGAGGGGTGAGTGGGAGGTGCGAGTGGGAGGTGTGAGAAGGGAGTGGGAGGGGTGAGTGGGAGGTGTGAGTGGGAGGGGTGAGAAGGGAGTGGGAGGGGTGAGTGGGAGGGGTGAGTGGGAGGTGTGAGAAGGGAGTGGGAGGGGCGAGTGGGAGGTGTGAGAAGGGAGTGGGAGGGGCGAGTGGGAGGGGTGAGAAGGGAGTGGGAGGGGTGAGTGGGAGGGGTGAGAAGGGAGTGGGAGGGGTGAGTGGGAGGGGTGAGTGGGAGGTGTGAGAAGGTAGCGGGAGGTGCGAGTGGGAGGGGTGAGAAGGGAGTGGGAGGGGTGAGTGGGAGGGGTGAGTGGGAGGTGTGAGAAGGTAGCGGGAGGTGCGAGTGGGAGGGGTGAGAAGGGAGTGGGAGGGGTGAGTGGGAGGGGTGAGTGGGAGGTGTGAGAAGGTAGCGGGAGGTGCGAGTGGGAGGGGTGAGAAGGGAGTGGGAGGGGTGAGTGGAAGGTGTGAGAAGGTAGCGGGAGGTGCGAGTGGGAGGGGTGAGAAGGGAGTGGGAGGGGTGAGTGGGAGGGGTGAGAAGGGAGTGGGAGGGGTGAGTGGGAGGGGTGAGTGGGAGGTGTGAGAAGGTAGCGGGAGGTGCGAGTGGGAGGGGTGAGAAGGGAGTGGGAGGGGTGAGTGGGAGGGGTGAGTGGGAGGTGTGAGAAGGTAGCGGGAGGTGCGAGTGGGAGGGGTGAGAAGGGAGTGGGAGGGGTGAGTGGGAGGGGTGAGTGGGAGGTGTGAGAAGGTAGCGGGAGGTGCGAGTGGGAGGGGTGAGAAGGGAGTGGGAGGGGTGAGTGGAAGGTGTGAGAAGGTAGCGGGAGGTGCGAGTGGGAGGGGTGAGAAGGGAGTGGGAGGGGTGAGTGGAAGGGGTGAGAAGGGAGTGGGAGGGGCGAGTGGGAGAGGTGAGTGGGAGAGGTGAGTGGGAGGGGTGAGAAGGGAGTGGAAGGGCTGAGTGGGAGGGGTGAGTGGGAGGGTGAGAAAGGAGTAGGAGGGGCGAGTGGGAGGGGTGAGTGGAAGGGGTGAGAAGGGAGTGGGAGGGGCGAGTGGGAGAGGTGAGTGGGAGGTGTGAGAAGGTAGCGGGAGGTGCGAGTGGGAGGGGTGAGAAGGGAGTGGGAGGGGTGAGTGGGAGGGGTGAGTGGGAGGTGTGAGAAGGTAGCGGGAGGTGCGAGTGGGAGGGGTGAGAAGGGAGTGGGAGGGGTGAGTGGAAGGGGTGAGAAGGGAGTGGGAGGGGCGAGTGGGAGAGGTGAGTGGGAGAGGTGAGTGGGAGGGGTGAGAAGGGAGTGGAAGGGCTGAGTGGGAGGGGTGAGTGGGAGGGTGAGAAAGGAGTAGGAGGGGCGAGTGGGAGGGGTGAGTGGAAGGGGTGAGTGGGAGAGGTGAGTGAGAGGGGTGACTGGGAGGGGTGAGTGAGAGGGGTGACTGGGAGGGGTGAGTGAGAGGGGTGAGTGAGAGGGGTGGGTGGTAGGGGTGACTGGGAGGGGCGAGTGGGAGGGTTGACTGAGACGGGTGAGCGAGAGGGGTGAGTGGGAGGGGTGAGTTGGATGGGCGAGTGGGAGGGGTGAGTGAGAGGGGTGAGTGAGAAGGGTGAGTGGGAGGGGTGAGTGAGAGGAGTGACTGGGAGAGGTTAGTGGGAGGGGCGAGTGAGAGGGGTGACTGGGAGGGATGAGCGAGAGGGGTGAGTGGGAGTAGTGAGTGAGAGGGGTGACTGGGAGGGGCGAGTGAGAGGGGTGACTGGGAGGGATGAGTGAGAGGGGTGAGTGGGAGGGGTGAGTGAGAGGGGTGAGCGAGAGGGGTGAGTGGGAGTAGTGAGTGAGAGGGGTGACTGGGAGGGGTGAGCGAGAGGGGTGAGTGAGAGGGGTGAGCGAGAGGGGTGAGTGAGAGGGGTGAGTGGGAGGGGTGAGTGAGAGGGGTGAGTGAGAGGGGTGAGTGAGGGGGTGAGTTGGATGGGCGAGTGGGAGAGGTGAGTGGGAGGGGTGAGTGGGAGGGGTGAGTGGAAGGGGGGAGAAGGGAGTGGGAGGGGTGAGTGGGAGGGGTGAGTGAGAGGGGTGAGTGGGAGGGGTGACTGGGAGGGGTGAGTGGGAGGCTGAGAAGGGAGTGGGAGGGGCGAGGGGGAGGGTGAGTGGAAGGAGTGAGCGGGAGAGGTGAGTGGGGGGATGAGGGGCGAGTAGGAGGGGTGAGAATGGAGTGTGAGGGACGAGTGGGAGGGGTGAGTGGAAGGGGTGAGAAGGGACTGGGAGGGGCGAGTGGGGGGGATGAGTGGAAGGGATGAGTGGGAGGGGTGAGGAGGGAGGTGGAGGGGCGAGTGGGAGGGAGGAGTGGGTGGGGGGAGAAGGGAGGCGTGCTGAGTTTGTTTAATTGAGACAGATTATTATACTCGGCTCCTGAAGACACACGATGTTTTTCTGATGAGCCAAACAATTTTGGGAACCCGCATAAAACCATTTTTCAAAACATGAACGCATGTCTAGTAATAGATTTGTTTTGGCGAAACCTGAGGTCAAAATACTTTTCCAGCATTTATGGGAAGAATGTTATATTTTTCCAAAACAAATATCCTTGCCACCGCCTCCCCCCAGAAATGATTAAATGAGCGGCCACTAGCACAGGACGTGTAAATGCGAGGCATGCTATATATCAGTTGTGTTACTTGTGTACTTAACGTTCACCCCTCTCAACGTGACGAGCAATGTCAAGATGATTGTGATATACGATCTATTGTGATTGTGATATATGATTAAGGGACCGTTCATTTAATACTGAGGGGAGGTACGGGGTGCCCTGTGCTGTCACTGCTTCAAGACATGGATATACAATGGTCGGTCCCCAGTCACATGTATGTATATCATTATTAGATTAGAATTATAGTCAACATTTGACAAAGCTTGACAGTTTACTTTTCGCATTGCACTGAATTCATCCAAGTTATATTTTGGCCTTCTTGACAGTGTTTTTTATTGTCATTTAGGCATCCGATATGGTGGTGTAGGACAATAACATTTATAATTTGGCATGGCATTTCAACGAAACGAAGACCAGCTGTCTTGACAGCACGATCGAATGTTGAGTAGCATCCATTCAACGCCTACTCTTTGATAGTCCAACCTGTTGATCTGAATATGTATTACTGAACATTTCATTGGGAACAGCAGCTTGCTGTTAAGCGGGGTTTCGCAATATTTTAGAATAGAAATAGATTTGTCGTGATAGAGATCGATTTGAAAGAACTATTAAATGTAACAAGGTCATTGAGCCCTCACATTGCATGTCATTTTCTGATGAATAGCTTCCAGATTCATGATTAACATGCAAAGTATCCTGGCTGATCATTAGCATGCATAGCGTCCTGGCTGATCATTAACCAGCATAGTGTATTGGCTGATCATTAACATGCATAGTGTCAAGGCTGATTATTAACATGCATAGTGTCAAGGCTGGACATTAACATGCATAGTACCAAGGCTGGACATTAACATGCATAGTGTCAAGGCTGATCATTAACATGTATAGTGTCAAGGCTGATCTTTACATGCAAAGCTTTCAGGCTGATCATTAACTTAAAAAGTGTCAAGGCTGATCATTAACATGCAAAGCTTTCAGGCTGATCATTAACATGCATAGTGTCAAGGCTGATCATTAACATGCATAGTGTCAAGGCTGATCATTAACATGCATAGTGTCAAGGCTGATTATTAACATGCATAGTGTCAAGGCTGGACATTAACATGCATAGTACCAAGGCTGGACATTAACATGCATAGTGTCAAGGCTGATCATTAACATGTATAGTGTCAAGGCTGATCTTTACATGCAAAGCTTTCAGGCTGATCATTAACTTAAAAAGTGTCAAGGCTGATCATTAACATGCAAAGCTTTCAGGCTGATCATTAACATGCATAGTGTCAAGGCTGATCATTAACATGCATAGTGTCAAGGCTGATCATTAACATGCATAGTGTCAAGGCTGATCATTAACACACAAAAAGTCAAGGCTGATCATTAGCACACAAAGTGTCAAGGCTGATCATTAACATGCATAGTGTCAAGGCTGATCATTAACATGCATAGTATCAAGACTGATCATTAACACAAAACGTGTCAAGGCTGATCATTAAGATGCATAATATCAAGGCTGATCATTAACATGCATTGTGTCCTGGCTGATCACTAACATGCATAGTATCAAGACTGATCATTAACACTCAAAGTGTCAAGGCTGATCATTAAGATGCATAGTATCAAGGCTGATCATTAACATGCATTGTGTCCTGGCTGATCATTAACATGCATAGTATCAAGACTGATCATTGACAAAAAACGTGTCAAGGCTGATCATTAACATGCATAGTATCAAGACTGATCATTAACACAAAACGTGTCAAGGCTGATCATTAACATGCATTGCATCCTGGCTGATCATTAACATGCATAGTGTCAAGGCTGATCATTTACATGCATAGCATCCCGGCTGATCATTAACATGCATAGTGTCAAGGCTGATCATTAAAATACATTGCATCCTGGCTGATCATTAACATACATAGTGTCAAGGCTGAACATTTACATGCATAGTGTCAATGCTGATCATTAACATGCAAATCTTTCAGGCTGATCATTAACATGCATAGTGTCAAGGCTGGTCATTAAGACGCATAGTGTCAAGGCTGATCATTAACATGCATAGTGTCAAGGCTGATCATTAACAAGCAAAGCTTTCAGGCTGATCATTATCATGCATAGTGTGAAGCCTGATCATTAACATGCATAGCATCCCGGCTGATCATTAACATGCATAGTGTCAAGTCTGGAGATTAACAGGCAAAGTGTCAAGGCTGATCATTAACACACAAAGTGTCAAGGCTGATCTTTAACACACAAAGTGTCAAGGCTGGTCATTAACACACAAAGTGTCAAGGCTGGTCATTAAAATGCATAGTGTCAAGGCTGATCATTAACATGCATAGTGTCAAGGCTGATCATTAACAGGCAAAGTGTCAAGGCTGATCATTTACACAAAAAGTGTCAAGGCTGGTCATTAACTAACAAAGTGTCAAGGCTGGTCATTAACACATAAAGTGTCAAGGCTGATCATTAAAATGCATAGTGTCAAGGCTTATCATTAACATGCATAGTGTCAAGGCTGGTCATTAAGACGCATAGTGTCAAGGCTGATCATTAACATGCATAGTGTCAAGGCTGATCATTTACATGCATAGTGTCAAGGCTGATCATTAACATGCAAATCTTTCAGGCTGATCTTTTACATGCATAGTGTCAAGGCTGGTCATTAAGACGCATAATGTCAAGGCTGATCATTAACGTGCATAGTGTCAAGGCTGATCATTAACTATATAGTGTCAAGGATGATCATTAACATGCAAATCTTTCAGGCTGATCATTAACATGCATAGTGTCAAGGCTGGTCATTAAGACGCATAGTGTCAAAGCTGATCATTAACGTGCATAGCATCCTGCCTGATCATTAACATTCATAGTGTCCTGGCTGATCATTAATATGCATAGTGTCAAGGCTGATCATTAACGTGCATAGTGTCGAGGCTGATCATTAATATGCATAGTGTCAAGGCTGATCATTAACGTGCATAGTGTCAAAGCTGATTATTAACGTGCATAGCATCCTGCCTGATCATTAACATCCATAGTGTCCTGGCTGATCATTAATATGCATAGTGTCAAGGCTGATCATTAACGTGCATAGTGTCGAGGCTGATCATTAATATGCATAGTGTCAAGGCTGATCATTAACGTGCATAGTGTCAAAGCTGATCATTAACATGCATAGTGTCAAGGCTGATCATTAACATGCATAGTGTCAAAGCTGATCATCAACATTCATAGTGTCAAAGCTGATCATTAACATGCATAGTGTCAAAGCTGATCATCAACAGGCTAAGTGTCAAGGCTGATCATAAACATTCATAGTGTCAAGGCTG